TGCACCCCAATGTTTATAGCAGCAATGTCCACAATAGCCAAACTATGGAAAGAGCCAAGACGTCCATCAATAGATGAATGGATAAAGAAGATGTGGTATGTATATACAATGGAATATTATGCAGCCATCAAAAAGAATGAAATCTTGCCATTTGCAACGACGTGGATGGAACTAGAGGGTATTATGCTAAGCAAAATAAGTCATTCAGAGAAAGATAAGTATCATATGATCTCACTGATATGAGAAATTTGAGAAACAAGACAGAGGATCATAGGGGAAGGGAGGGAAAAATGAAACAAGATGAAACCGGACGGGGAGACAAACCATAAGAGGCTCTTAATCTCAAGAAACAAACTGAGGGTTGCTGGAGCGGAGGGGGTTGGGAGGGATGGGGTGGCTGCGTGATAGACACTGGGGAGGGTATGTGCTATGGTGAGCGCCGTGAATTGTGTTAAGACTGATGAATCACGGACCTGTACTCCTGAAACAAACAATACATTATATGTTAATAAAAAAATAAAAAAAAAGAACTTATGTTTTGGATGTAGCCTTGGATGTATTTCAAGATGGATGGATGGAGAGATGGATGGAAGAATGGACAGATGGGAGGGTGGATGGGTGGAGGGATGGAAGAATGGATGATGGATGGATGGATGGTTGGATGGAAGGATGGATGGATGGATGGAAAGAAGGATGGAAGAATGGAAAAGGGATGGATGGATGGAGAGATGGATGGAAGGATGGACAGATGTATGGACAAATGGAGAGACAAATGAGCTGACAGACAGCAGGCAGTGATATTGATTACAGTATTTTTCTGTAAGCAAAATCCCAGATGCTCTCTGCACACATGTGGACAGGGGACTAGACAGGGGCATTCAGCAAGCTTACAAGTGGGGTCCATGGGTGCTGACCTAGACAGTCTCCAGGTGAAGAGCATTGCAGTACAATGCTGTTTGTGTAAACAACATGCATACCCCCACACCCTCTCACACACCATGCTTTTTCTGGAAGGACTCTAGAAGAAACTAAATTTTAGAAGAAAGTAAAATCGATCGTTGTGGGTGGAGATGCAGGGATGGAGGATTCTGCTTTTCCATGTAAGCCTTGCTCCTGCTAGAGTCACTGATTGAACCACTTCTCCAAAACAGGTGAGGCGGCCTATTTACAAGGGTCTTTTGTCTATAAGCCACAGAACTTCTATACCTATTTTATTTGAGAGATATTATCTGCCTTTACTGCCAGGAAAGGGGAGAACCAGACACTCCAAAGTCTTGGGCTCTGGGCCCGCGGCTACAGGGCCCACAGGCCTGGGAATGGCTGGCTCCCAGCAAGCCCAGCTTGCAATTATGTGGGAGGAAAGTCTCCCACCAAGCTGCTCTCATAGTGGGTCCACGCCCGCTGCCCCCCACATGGGAACGGACCCAGGAGCATTTTTAATATTCCGTCAGGAGACTTGGCAGCCCTATTGTGGCTGCTTCTTTCTTGTTTTCTAAAATTCCTTTTTTGTTAAAATCCCAATTCCAAATTTCTCTCCACAAGAAAAGCCACCAAAAGACTTGAAGCCACAAGCCAAGCCCCACCAGAGCCCGAGGCCTGGTCCCTCTGAGGGCGGCCCCCACATGCGGCTGCTGTCCCATTGGGAGCTCTCTGCCCACCGTGGGGGGGGGGCCTCCTCCTGCCCATGGGGAGGCCCCATCCCAGCTCAAGGTCATTCCTTCCGTCTGCCCAGACCCCTCCCTGCAGGCCAGGCAGCCACCTCATCTCCAGCAGGAGGAATTTGGGGATGCCCAGTGAGTGACCCCCATCGCAGAGCAGCAGATGAGCTGACGGGGTCTGGGCCAACCAAGGGGTTGCCCGAGGGGGTGTAGGGAGGACGTGTCCCACATGGCCCCTTCCTATGCTCTCTTGGGGGTGGTCACCCCAGGCCCATGGCCTGGGCGGCAGGAGAGCTCAAGCTCCTCCCTGTGGGCTTTCAGGGCTCAGGCCCTCGGAACAGCATGGCCTCCAGGCAACGAGACAGGAAGACAGACTCCTCCCTGCAGGAAGTCCCCCAGTCACCAGTGAGCCCCCCGCTTAAGTTCAGGAGCGGCTGTCAGCTCTCCTGCTGGCATGAGGATGCGGCCCGCCGCATCCCCAGGCTTCCTACCGGGTCTCCGGGGACACCGACGGGGCCTTCTCGTCCCTGGTCACCTTGGGGTCCAGCTTCGCCCTGGGGAGGGATGAGCCAGTGAGTGTGGAGGCCAGGAGAGGTCAAGCTGCCTGGGCGGAGCCGGGCAAGGCTGGGGTCGCCCAGCGCTCCGGGCCAGGAAGCGCCACTATATCCACTGCAGGCCTGGTCTCGACCTTCCTCCCAGATATTCAGCATATGCTGGGGCCGTGTGCACAGCCATCTGGAGACTCGCGGTCTCAGGAGGCCACGGTGAGGAGACCAGTGCTCCTCCTGAGGCCGGAGGCAGCCCCTTACGTTTGCTTCTTCTCCAGCCAGCTCCCTGACTGGCCCCAGGCCCAGGGCTGCTGGGGTGCTCCTTGGGGTGCAGCCTGGCCTTCGGTCCCATCTCAGCAGGGCAGCTTGGGAGGCGCAGGCCACGCTATCCCTGACACCCTGCCCCTGGTGCTGGGGGTCATGGGGCTCGGGGGACGATGAAGAGCAGGGACGGGGCAGAGAGCAAATCTCTCTTCCAGTGACCTCGGCCTCAGGCTGAGCCTGCTCTCCCCATCGGGACAGCTGGACACATGTCCTCAGGAGGAGCGGCCGTGCCTAGATGGTCACAGCAGGAGGCACCACATGGCCTGCCCGGCAGCTACAAGTCCTGGTCCACACCCGGGGTTTGAAGAGTATCGTCCCCTCCTCCGGGCTCCAGAACGCTGGGATGGGGCCTGTTGCCCCCTCCTCTGACCAGGCACAGGTGGTCTGGCCTGCCCTCGGGGTCCTGCAAGACCTTCCCAGTGAACCATGGGGCCAGAGAAAGCTCCGGAAGGAGGTGGGGGTGCGGGCGGCAGCTTGGTGAGGTGGCTGGGCCGTGGGGGCCAGCCCCAAGTTTCCTCTTCAGGTTGTAGGAAAGAATCATTCCAGAGCGCAAGCTCTTCTGCAGCGTTTATGGAGCTGCTGGGGGAAGCGGCAGGTGTTTGGGAAAATCCAGGTGTGCGATGGGGAGTTAAGTACATCATGCCGCGTGCAAGGCCGAGCAGGGACCCCAGGGACAGGCGAGCCGCAGTGTGAACACCGCTACAGGTGCCCCGCTGTGTGTGTGAGTGTGCGTGAGTGTGCATGAGTGTGCGTGTGTGTGGTCTTCCCGGACGTGCTGGTCGTGGTGAGGAGGGGGAGGAGACAACGCTGCACTTTGCCTTCCTCATCTGGACCCACGCCCCCCTTCTCCTGGCCTCCCTCAGGCCCCTTGAGACGCCTGGGGCCAGAGGGTCGGAGCCAGGGGTCGGGGCCGGGGGCTGAGCACAGGAACAACCACACTTCCTGAACCAGGGAGACTGCCTTTGGGAAAACAGCAGGTGAGGGGGGTCGCCTGAAATCTGGGGGCCAAAGGGACATGGTGGTGCGGGTCCCGTGAGGCGCATGGCCTGACCCCGCCTGAGCTCAGGCTCTGTCCCCCTCCTGGGGCGTGGGGTCTCAGCTCGATGGACGGTGACTCACCGGGTCCCCCCGTGGGCCCCGCACACCTGGGGTCCCCCGTGGTCCTCTTTCCCCAGGGCCGCCCTGTGTGGAGGGAAGCAGAGGGAGGTGAGGCTGCAGCTCAGACACAAGATCGAGGAGGCGGCTGGAGGCCCGGGCACGGGCTGACCTCCCCCAGCAGGACACCCCATCCTTTCAGAGACTGGGGTCCCGCCGAGCTCAGACAGGAGCTTCATGGCGAGGCCCAGGGCCCAGACGTCCCTGCACCCCACTCACCCTCTCGCCGGGGGCACCATCCGGTCCCGGGTTTCCCTGGGATTAAGAGGAACACACATCAGTCAGTTTGGGATGGAAACTCTGCTTCAGGCGGGCAGCTGGGAGCGGGAGATGGAACGCGGGTGCTCACCTCGTCACCGGCTTCTCCCTTCTCTCCTGGGGGACCAGGCAAGCCCGGCTCGCCCTGGGGGGACAAGCGTGGAACCGTCCATCTCTGACCCCGCTCTGGGGCCCAGGGCTGCGCGGGCCCCTGCTCCCGGCGGCCCTCCCCAGGGCCTGCGCCCCACCCGCCTGCCTCGGGGGCTCCGTGAGTGCTCACCTCGTCTCCGGGGGGGCCTGTGTTCCCTGGCCTCCCGGGCTCCCCGTCAGCTCCAGGGGCACCCTGGAAAGATCCGAAAGCTCAGCCTGTGGGGACCCTGCCCCGGGCCTCCTCACCCAGGCTCCAGGCCGCTCTCCCTCACCAACCACAAGAACCTTGGACGCTGAGGACCCTCACCCACATCTCTACAGGAATCCTGCCTGAGGCCACCTCCCCGCGGCGCCTGCTGGGGTCAAGCCCTGAGCCGGAGCGTCTTGGAAAGTCAGGTTGAGGCCCCACAGCCATTGGCCAGATCCTGAGAATCGGCCCAGAAGTCGGCGTGGTGAGGACACCCTCGGAGCCGGCAACCTTACCTGCCCATCTCTCCTAGCACTTCCTGTCGCTGAGAACGCCAGCATATACCAGCAACAGGACGTCGTGCTCTAAGTTAGGCTCAGAACCTTGCCTCCTCATTCTTTACTTCTCTGCCTGCTTGCAACAATCGGCATCCTGTTTATTCTTAAATCGTGACTTCTGCATGAGCAGACGGATTCCAGGCTGCGCGGACGGGTGGGCCATCTGGTCCGCTGCAGGCGGGCAGTGTTCGGGGCTCAGGGCACGTCTGAGGCTCCGTGACACCGGGTGGCAGGGGCGCCTGCCCTTGCTTGTGACGTTTTCCGCCCTCTCCACCCCAGCCCCCTGCCTGCCCCCGTGGAGGCCTGGGCCTTGGACAGTGGGTGGAGAATCTGCCTCCAGGAAGGATTTCTGAGTCACGCTGGGTTGGCTGGGTAGGCAGGGAGGCCCGGCCCGTGTCACTCACCTTCTCTCCTTTCCGTCCGAAGGCACCTGCGTCGCCTTTGGGTCCCGGGGGTCCTTGAGTGCCCTGGTGAGAAATTGTAGGGGGTCAGTCCTTGGTCTTCAACAAGCAGCAGTTGGGCAGGGCACAAATACACTGGACACTGGAAGGATAGGTCTGCACGTGGTACGGCCCACTGGTGACGCCTTTGAGCGTCAGGAGAAGGGTGGGGTCCCCGTTTGCTCCTGAGAACTTGGTCTTAAAATGTCAGTGACAGAACACAACTTACGTCGAATCCAGGAGAGCCCTTGCAGCCTGGCAGGCCGGGGTACCCCATCTCCCCCTGGAAGGAGAAAGGCAGATCAGCAGTCAAGACCCTCACTCTTGCTCATACACCCCCTCCCAGGAAAGCCCCACCAGGATGATGGTCTGAACTTGGCCAGGAGGCTTGGGGTCCACTGGGGCCTGACGCTCAGCAAGAAATGTCTCCTGCCTTTCTTGCTACCTCCAGGTCCCCCGCCCTCCCGCCCAGCAAACTCACCTTCATGCCGTCCACACCGTCAATGCCACGCTTGCCCTTCTCGCCCTGCAAGGTGCAAAGACCAAGGAGGGGTTCACAAAGGTCAGATGGTACCCCCTGGGGCAGAAGACAAGTCCCCGCCCCCACACTCACCTTGTAGCCCTTGGCTCCCCTGGAGCCCTGCAGAGACAGGAAGAGAGAGTGAGGGGGGTGTCTCCCCAGCATGAGGCAGGTTCCCTGGAAACTGGCCGGGGGTGTCTTCCCAGGGAGGCAGAGCGGGGTGGACCCCCCACCCGCTCATGGGGGCTCGGACACGCAGGACATGGGCAGTGTTGTCCTCCCAGGCAGGTGGGGACAGCTCTGTGCCCTGAGGGACATGACCTGAAGCCTGCCTTACTCACCTTCTCCCCTCGGCTCCCTTTTTCTCCCTACAGAGCAGAGGAGAAAGGGGGTGTCACTGATGTCCCAGGGCTCAATGCCCTGGGACAAGCCCAGACGTGTTTCGCCTGGGCCCCCAGAAGGGCTGGCCGCTCTGAAAGAGGAGGAGGAGACACACCTTCATCCCCTGGTAGCCGATGGGTCCGAGGTCCCCGGGCCTTCCCTGGAACACAGCGGGGGGGCCTGTTAGATGCCCCTGGGGGCAGAGGCAGCCCCCCCAGTCTGCCTCGCCCCCCAGTCTGCCTCGCCCCCCACTCTGCTCAGACCTGGTCAGCCAGAGACACCAGGCTGGCTGACCACTGGCCCGAGTCCCAGAGAGCAGCCCCGATGTGAAGGCTCTACCTCCCACTCCTGGGGGTGTCCTTGGGGGAGCTCCAGGGAGGGGAGGGGAAGGGCTAGGTCAAGGGCCCCCAGGAGGAGAGGGGGTGGTCTGTGGGGAGACAGCCCTGGGCTGACCCTCCACCTGCCCCACTGAGACGGCCTGAGCGGAGGTCTGGGCAGAATGTGCTGGAAGGATGGCTGTGCATGGGTCCTCTGCCCTCACTGCCCTTGGGGCCATCTGCTCTAAGGGTCAGACCACATGACCATGGTGCCCAGAAACCAGCCATCCTTCTAGAAGCTTCCACCGAACCCAGCTCCCCTCCCAGCCTCAGGCTTCTCAGCACCCCGACCCCCAAGGTCAGGTGCTCGGCACTCACGGGGTCTCCGGCTTCTCCTTTCTCTCCTGGGAGACCTGGCTTCCCACGTTCTCCCTGGAACACAGAGCAGATCAAGGTTGGGGGACAATTTCTGTTTATTTCTAATAACCTGGTGGAAAGGACCCCTGACTTTCTCCCAAGAAAAGGATTAACAAGATATTCCATGGACCTTCTGAGTCCTCGGGGTGCTCAGGCTCCTTGCCTGTCTCCGTGGCCTGCCCTGGGGTCTGCGAGGTCAGGGGCACCCTCCCCCTCCCACAGCCCACCAGGCCCTGTGCTGCTCCACGCTGGCCGGCCTGGCCCTGGCCCTTTCTCTCGGGCTTCCGCACCCATTCCTGCTGTGTGTGGGGCCCCCAGGCCGGGGAGGGGGCCAGGCTCAGCTCCTGGGGCCCATGCTCATGCAGCTTCATGGTCATGAAATCTAACATTTTTCGGAGTAGCACTTTGATGAGCAATCTGCCCAGTTGTACATGTGGCCCACTAAGGTTGACCGTCTCTGTGAGCCACACCTGGCCTTGGGCCCCACATTTGCAGCCCGGGCCCAAGAAGGTGCATCCGGAAAGCTGGAGCCTGCGGCCAGACCCACCCCCCAGACTAGCCCTCCCTCGGCCACGGCATTGGCCGCAGGGTCCCTGTGCCTGGACTCTCTCCCCATGGGTGGGGGCACCTGCTCAGCGAGGGGCCCCTTCCCTCTCCCCACACCTGGTGTGGGTGGGCGCTCTGTGGGGGTTCAAGACAGCTGCCTGGGGTCCCACTACGTCCCTCACACCAGGGGCTTCAGGCCGCAGGGACATTTGTCCAGCACTATACTGCACACTCTCTCCCTCCAGGGAGGGGTGCGGCCACTCACCTCGTACCCGGCGTCTCCCCGTGGCCCGGGAGGTCCTCTGGCGGGCTGCAAGACAGAGGGAAAGGTCAGCCTGAGCTAGCATCCGGGGTGACCCCAGAGGTGGTCAGGGTCCCCCACTCACCTGGCATTCGAAGGAGCAGCACTGCGGGACGAAGGACGGAGGACACTTTAGAAAATGGGGCTCCGTAGAGGGCCCTGGACACCCACCTGGCTGGTGATGCCCTGGACAGCTGGGGTGGGCAGGCGAGAAGGGAAGGGGAGGGGAGGGGAGAGAGGGGGAGGGGAGGGAGGGGGAGAGGGGGAGGGGCTCCTACCACTTGTTCCACATTGTTTTTCTGAAAAGTGAAATGGAAAAGAGGAGTTAATTTATATTTGAGCCGCAGGATTTCCCAGCGCCCCGGACTAGGAGCGGACAAGGAGCGAGGGGGGAGCGGCTGCTCACGATCATGTCGGTGATGGTGTCGATGGTCTGGGTGATGATCTCTTCGGCGTCGCGGTTCTGCCCCCAGTCGGCCGCCGTGAAGTTTCGTCGGTACATGTGGTCCGTGGCGATGATGCTCAGACGTGGCTCCTGGTGAGGACAAGGGACGAGGCCAATGACGCTGCGAGCACGGCCCCTCCCCATCTGCAGCGCATTGCCTGCACCCTGGGGGCCCCCTAGCCCCTGCCTGGAGCAAGTGTGGGGACGGGGGCACCTACCAGGTGGTCGGGCGTGATGGCCACCGAGAAGACCTTGATGCCCAGGTGCTTGGCCTCGTTCACGGCGTCCTCCAGGCCCCCACACGGCTCCTTGTAGCCCTCCAGGGGGTGCCCGTCGGTCACCACAATCAGGTACTTGTTCTCCTTCAGGTGGGAGCCCCTGCAAGGGGGGGTGGGCAGCAGTGAGGTCCCCTCCAGCGCCCGCTGACCCTGACAGCTCAGGGCACCTCCGGAACAGAGCTGGGACCCCCAAGACTGGAGGTGAGGAGCCGGGGGCTAGAGGCCCTGGAGGGAGACCCGGACCCAAATGCAACCTCAGAGGGCGGCCGGCTGCCACGCTGGGCAGTCTATCTCTGCTCGTCGATGCTGCCTATAAATGGGGCTGTAATAAAGGGTATTAAAACAGAAAATAAAGGTTCGCAGGATCACATTTCTCTAAAGCACTCTCTTGGAAGACGCCCATATCCCCAGGGGAGAGGCCCAGGTCCTTGCCCGCTGGGAGGCACCCTGACCACGGGATCGGTGACCACAGCTAGTGGGGGGACGGCTGAGGAGCACCGGGAGCTGTGGCCGGGCTGAGCGACAGCGGGGAACGAATCCTCTCCCGGGATGAACCACGGCTGCTGTTGGCTCTTCCCCACGGCCGATCGGATGATGTGTGTGGAGCCAGCTCGGGGGGTGGGGGGGGCGCCCTGGCACTCTCCCAGGAAAACCCTTCCCTCTGTCCCGGACCACAGGCACCACCTCTGCAGTGGCTGGGACAGTCCAGGCCCTGTGGGCCCCTCCCCCTTCAGTGGCTGAGGAGACAGGGGCAGCTCAAGGGGAGCAGAGGGACGGAGAGTGACCCTTGGCAGCCACGGGAGCGGCTGGGTGGGGGCCGCTGGCGTGGCGCCCGAGCACTAGCACTGGTCCCTGGGCCGACCACGAGAAGCAGCCTCCAAGGGACACGCTCAGGACGCAGGAAGGCACAGGCCTCTAGACGGGGAGCTGCGTGCGGACGGCGGGCACTCACCCCACAAGGAGCTCCTCCAGCCCCTTCTTGATGGCGCAGTCCGTGTAGGTGCCCTTGCCGAAGTACTTGACGGCATCCACTCTGGCCTTGAGTGCGTCGCGATCGCTTGGCATGGGCCTGAGTGGGCTGATGATCTCCACCTCGTCGCTGTAGTGCAGGGCACCCGCGTTCCACACCAGGTTGCGGTCACACCGGTAGTACCTGCAGACCGCAAGGCGGAGTGAGCAGGGGACCCTTCACCGCGGGCACGTCCAGGGCCCCCCACCCCGCTCCCCGTGTGTGTCCGTCCATGGGCACCAGGGTCACCCATGTCACAGATGGACACACTGCCCAGTTCCGTCCCACCCCAAGAGGGAGGGGCCGCGCCCTGGGGACCACACATGGCACGGAGGGGTGGGGGAGGTCAGGAGGGCCAGCCCCAGCCAGCAAGTGACCACCATAGCCCCTGATCTCCGGGGTCCTCGGGTGAGGAGCCGTGGGCACCTCCAGGGACCGGGGCCACAGGGGAGGGGCAGACCCTGCGTGGACGATGCTGGGACAGGTGACAGGGCAGGGGGAGGCGAGCTCTAAGTCAGTTCTAAGTGGGACACTCTGAGTGGCCATCTTTCCCTGCCCCTGTGCACCTTCGCTGGAGGCTTCCAGGGGCTTACCCTGTGGGGGCCTGGGGGAGATGTGCCCACCAGCCTGTTCAGCAGCCAGCGTGACCGAGGCCCCTACAGTGATGCTAACAGCATCAGTTGCACAGGTGGGGAAACTGAGTCCTAAGAAATTGAGTAACAAGGCCAAGGACACCTGGATGGGGTGGTGGGCCTCAGGAGCCCAGGTATTTTGGCTGAATTCAAGGTTTCAGGTCATATGCCCTCCCTGAGCAGCCCCCACCCTCTGTCCTTGCAACCCCCTCAAGGTGGGCAGGCAGCTGGGTGCCCTGGTCCCCGAGTCAGCGGGTCAACAGGGACCAGGTTGGAGTAGGGCCAGGCCCTGCCCAGGTGAGTGAGGGAGGAGCCTGGTTCTGACTGTGACCCTCCCCCATGGCCTGGGCCCCCCCATGGGCGTGTCCAATTGCAGCCACACCCACCGCTCTAGGAGACCCCTGCCCCCCAGCTGCAGATGCTTCAGACAGATGAGTGAGTGAGTGAGTGAGTGAAGCTGGCTGGCCCTCGGGGCCCTCGGACGAGGGCACTAGAACACCGGGACATTGGTCAGGACACGGGCTCTGACCGTCCACCCGGGCGGAGGTCCGTGTCCAGGCGAGGCGGGCCTCCTTCAGGCACCGGGTGGAACCGCAGAGCCTCCGGCCAACTCCTGAAACCCACTCAGTTGGGGGGCAGGGAGGCACATCTGGGGTCCTGGGAGCCCCGACGGCAGCACTGCCCCCCAGGCTCCCGGTTGACCAGGCGGACGGTGCCGCCCCGCTGGTCCACTCCTTCTCAGACTCGGCCCTTTTCTGGCCCATTGGAGCCACTGCGGATGCAGGAGGGTGACTGTGTGGCCTGGTTCACCCTGGCCTTCTAGATAGGAAGGGGGCTCGGCTCTGCCTGCAGGGCCTCCCGGAGAGGCTCATGGGCGTGCTGGCTCTCCTACCTGTCTCTCAGGTTGTCGATGAAGCTCTTGGTGAAGGCCTTGACCTTGTCCACCAGGGCTCCGTAGGGCTTCAGCCTCAAGGCCACGCTCTCAGAGGTGTCCAGCACAAAGAAGAGGTCCACAGGGCAGTCTGGCCAAGCACCGGGTGGGGGGCCTGAGCCTCACGCCCCGTGCCCTCCTGGGCACAGGGAGGCCACCTCCCCCAGGCACGGGCCTGGCCCCGGCCCCCCGGCGAGGGGGGCAGAGTGACCGTGAGAGCCCCCCGTGGGTCCTGGGAACCCCGCCTGGCTGGGGGGAGAACCACCTCCCGGAGGACGGGGAGCCCCGCCCTGGCCTGCAGGACCAGGCCGTTCGCTCTGCACTGTCCCTCTATGCATCTAAACTACCAGGGGCACGACCTCCTGGGCAAGGCGTGAGAGCACAGGGGCCCTGGCTCTTGACTGAGTGTCCGGGAGGAGTCAGACCGGAGGAACCCGGGGGAGCAAGGACGGTGTTCTCGGGGCACCGAAGGCTGAGGCCGGGATGGTGTCGCCACCCTCCCAGGCCAGCCTGACACCCCGGGGAGGAAGGGCCCAGGGCCCAGGCCCTGCTGGGGGCCACGCCCGGGGAATTTCACGACCCCGCCGCCGGCCGGTCAGCGCCTCTCACGTCGGAGGGAAGGGTGGGGTCAGGTCCCCGGCCCGGCCGCACAGGCAGAGTAGGGGGAGCCGCGAGTCACTCACCCTGGAAGGCCACGGCCCTGGCGCTGCCCGGGACGTCCTGAGCGGCCGCCCAGCAAGCCTGCAGCAGCAGGGGGAGCAGAGCGCGGGCCACCTTCATGTTACCGCCCCAGTGTCACCATCGAGCGAGGGCTGGGGTCCGGGTGGGCCGGTGATGAGCAGAGGCCGAGAGAGGAGTAGTGTCTGCTCTCCCGCCTGCGAAGTCACAGCCCCGGAGGGCGGGCGCGGGGAGGAGCTGGGGCGGGGGCGGCGCGGAGGGCGGGGGTCTCCCGGCAGTGAGTCACTGCCCCGCCGCGCTCCGCTCTGGGCGGCTCCGACCCGGCACCCCGCTGCGCCCGGGGCTTCATCGCCCGGTTTGGGGGAAATCCGTGGGCTCCCCGCGCGCCGAGTACCGCAAAACCGCAGCGGAGTTCAAGACGCCCGCTGGAGAACTGGCACCGCGCTCCGGGTCTCCCCCGAGCCCCGCGGGTCCTTTCCTTCTTGTGGAATTAATCAGCGTAAGCGCCGGTGGGGGTGGCTTAGATGTTTCAAATCCACTGCGTTGTCAGATTTCCCAGTCATTGCTCTTGTAGACCCTCCTTCCCAGGTTAGTCAATACGTAGTTGGAAAAGATGTTTCAGTGTTTACTACGGGAAAGCAAATGCACCAACGGTGCGGACACGGCAGGCCCGGGCGCCAGACTCTCATAGAGTCGGACATAGGCTTTGTGTGTTGTATGTCTTCTCTACTGTATTCTTACAACCAAGTCAGCCAGAGAACAGAGTTATGAAGGTATTAAGAAAACCATCAGGAAAACACATTTGCAGAACTGTATAGCTCAGAAAAAACCTGTATAGAAGCGGACCCGTGCAGTTCAAACCCACGTTGTTCAAGAGTCAATTCTCTCTCTCTCCATATATATATGGACACCCTGATTGTGAGGAGGGGTCTGAAGGCCCCACCCTGGGGCTCTGTGGGGTGGGCTCCAGATGTGGCCAGACCCACCCCTGCCCCAGAGAAGGTTCCAGAAGACCTCCTCCAGAGCTGGAGCTGTTGACACTTGTCTAACATCAACCTAAATGTCTTATAGCTTAAAACCATACCAAAGTTGTATAATCGTAAAAGAAACTTTTGAGAAATCCTTCAGAAATCACACTTCTCCATGATCATTCTAGGATTTCTTCCAGTGTTTTCCCCATACCTTCTTCATGGGATTTCTGTAAACTGTGTGAGAAATTCTACCTGCCTCTGATTTCATCCCACCTGTGCTCCTGTTTGGGGCCATCGCTCCCAGCTTGCGGCTTTGGGTTTAGTCCCAGGAGGTCAGCCCCCCGTGGAAGCTTGCCCCCCCCCCCACCACTCACTGGCTCCTGTCGGAGCTGTTGGATCTGCAGAGTGCACAGGTGCTCACATTCCTGCAGGTTTGGGAGAAGTAGGAATACGTTGTGTGAATCCCTGAGGAGAGGGAGGTGCCCAGCCTGGCCTTGCCACCGGTTTCCGAGCCATGGGAGGCTGAGCAGTGCATGCGTGCTCAAAGGTGGCCTGAGCTTCTCCCTGGTGGGGGCTGGGACCACGCAAGTCTGCAAGGCAGGGGGCTCAGGCTCACAGAGGTACCAGCCCCACCCGGGTGCCTCTGCTCACAAGAGCTCAACAATGATGTCTTCAAAATTGGTATTTTTCCTCTTACAAAAAAAGTATGTGCTTACCATAGAAAGATTACAAAATTAGAAAAACATCATCTTGTTTCACTGCCCAGAGGTATTAAGAGCTAACACTTTTGTTTCTGTAAGTGTTTCTTAAAGTTTTTATTTAAATTCCAGTTAGTTACATACAGTGTAATACTAGTTTCAGGTGTACAATGTAGTGATTCAACGCTTCCGTATATCACCTGGTGCTCATCAGGACAGGTGCCCCCCGACTCCCCATCCACCACCCCCTCCTCTCTGGTGACCATGAGTTTGTTCTCTATAGTTAAGAGTCTGTTTCTTGATTTGCGTCTTTCTTTCTTTTTTTCCCCCTCTGCTCATTTGTTTTGTTTCTTAAATTCCACATATGAGTGAGATTATAGGAATATTGTCTTTCTCTGATCGACTTATTTCACTAAACATAATGAGTCCCCAGTTCCATCCACATTGTTGCAAGTGGCAAGACTTCATCCTTTCTGATGGCTGAGTAATATTCCATTGTGTATATGGACCACCTCTTCTTTATCCATTCATCTGTCGAGGACATCTGGGCTCCTTCCACAGTTTGGCTATTGTGGACATTGTGGCTATAAACATTGGGGTGCACTTACCCCTTTGGATCCCTACATTTGTATCTTTGGGGTAAATACCCAGTAGTGCAATTGCTGGATCGTATGGTAGCTCTATGTTCAACTTTTTGAGGACCCTCCATACTGTTTTCCAGAGTGGCTGCACCAGCTTGTGTTCCCACCAACAGTGTAGGAGGGTTCCCCTTTCTCCGCATCCCCGCCAACATCTGTCGTTTCCTGACTTGTTAATTTTAGCCATTCTGAGGTGGGATCTCTCTGCTGGAAACATTTTGACAGACGTGTGGTCACCGGTATATGTCTGTTTATATGCCTTCAGCTGTGTTCTTTTCTGAGTATGAAAGCGATGCAACCTCATACTAGAGAAAATATGGAAAGTACGGGAAGGACACAAAAGAAATCAGAAACCAGCCTGACGCGCACCACGGGCTGTGCATCGCTGCCGTCCTGCACATTTCCCGCGCTTGAGGTGAGGCTGCATCCCTCCTCCCTGTCTGGACCCTCTCTCTCCAGGACAGCTGCACGGTCCTTCTGAGAGGGGGCTCCCCTCTGGCCCCCAGCCCCTGACACACAGGCCACAGGCGTCAGTGTTCATGCAGCGCTGCACCCCCGCACCAGCGCTGGGAGCAGGGCCTGGGTCCTGCCTGTGCGGACTGCTGCCCGAGGGGCCGTGTGCAGGGAGAATTCAGGTAGGACATGGGGGTGCAGGGCTCTGCAGCTTTCTCCCATCCCCGCTGTGCCACCTGGGCCTCACTGACCCCCTCTGTGGTCCCAGAGCCAGCCTTGGGGAATGGGTCTTCACCTTCACACTGCCCGCCACGCACAGTGCCCTGGGACCCGGGAGGGGAGCCCCTGCCTGGGCAGAGCGCCCAGAATCCATGGGACCTCCAAGGTCTGCACACGCCCCCAGGGAGCAGCTGCAGGGCGATGGGCAGGGGGCCTGACCCCCGTGTGGAGGGGTCCCCAGGGAAATGGGCCGGAGGTCCCAGTGGGTCCCGGGCAGGGACGGGATGCAGAGCCCTGGGGGGTGGGCAGCAGGGTGACAGGTTTGAACCATCCTGTGGCGCAGATCACTGGCTACGGTGACACATTGCCAGGCAACACTGGCCGGGCCTGGCCGGGAGGTGGGTCTCCAGGGGAGAGGAGGGAGGAGCAGCTGGGCTGGGGGCCTGCAGGAGGGTGGTTAGGGTGAGGGACCACCCTCACCCTCGGCTCTGGCCCCTACGCGGGGCGGCTGCTCAGGGACACAGTGGTCACCCACCCCAGGGGGGTCCCACAGACATGGGGGTGCGGCCAGAGGCGCCCAAGGGCCCAGAGCAGGGCTCTCCTCCGATGGCCTCCGGCGTGAGTGTGCGTCCAAGTGGAAGAGACCATGAGTGTGAGCGTGGGAGAGAGTGTGAGAGAGAGCATGAAAGTGTGTGTGAGCATGTGTATGAATGTGTAAGTGTGTGAGTGCGAGTGTGTGAGAGAGGGTAAGCATGCAAGTGTGTGGATGTGAGAGTGTGAGCATGCGAAGGTGTGAGTGTAAGTGGGTGAGTGTGAGCAGGCACGCATGTGAGCGTGTATGAGTGTGAGCGTGCATGTGAATATGTGTGTGAGCATGAGAGTGCATGTGAGAGTGTTTGTGTGTGTGCGTGTGCTCCACAGTCCCCACGAGTGTCCTCACACCCTGGAGACCAGCCCCCCACGCGCAGGCTCCGAGGGGCTGGGTGGGGCTGGGCGCAGGTGTGGGGACCCTGGGACCCCAGACAGAGCCCTCCAGGAGACCCCGCAAATGCACCTGCTTTTCTCTCCCTCCTGCCCGTTTTCCTGTGACTCTTGGTGTCTGGAAAAGAAAGCAAGCTCGGGGAAGGGGGAAATTACCCACCATGACTCCATTGTGAGGTTTCTAAAAACCCCGTAAACGTGGGTAGAAGGTGGAAGGAGAGGATATCCTAACGGAAACTGCCTTTGCCCGAACTCAAAGCAGCTGAGCAGCCAAAGGGGACTTTGGTGCTGGAGCAGCTGATGGAGTCAGCCAGGACGGGGGGGGGGGCCCGATTCCTCATCCCCTCCCGCCCCCCCCGAAGCAACAGCACCCCCTCATGCGCCCTCCTAACCCAGCCTGGGAGCAGGGCCTTCTTCCTCCTCTGGCTTTCCCGCTCCCTCCACCCTTTTGTTGCTGGAGGCCCCAGGCACAATCAGGGCCAGAGCTGCGCCTGGACCCCCGGGGCCTCTCCACCCCCCCTTGTGCCCCCCAACCCACAGTACCCTCAGCCAGGGGCACCACCAGGCATGGGGTAGGGGTGGCCATCCTCCCCCAGCCCAGGTCAGGGTCTCACAGACACTGGGTCCACCCCAGGAAGGACAGCAAGGGAGTGACCAAGGGGCCTCTAGGAAAGGGTGGCAGGGAAGTCTCCAGGGCCAGGAGGTGAGGACCAAGCAGAGGCGAGGGGCAGCAGCCAGACCGCGGGCTCTGGTGGCCAGGCCAGTGTCCCTGATGGCTGAAGCGCCTCAGATGGGTGATGGCCCTGTGGAGAATGTGGGACACCTGCCGGGCCACACTGTGCTGGATGGGGTGACGGCGGGGGTGTCTGTGGACCGACAGCCAGTGTTTCCAGAACCACCCCTCCTTCCCAGGAGCGTGGCTGATGGGAAGCTGCTTTCATTTATAAACACCAAAATCCAAGCTCTCTTAGCACCCGTTGAACAAAGACCTATTTGATTTCTTTTTAATCCTCAACTATCCAGTGAATTTTCCTCCCGATCTAGAACGTGATTCACCAGGGAAAATAATATTTTCCAGGGGTTACACTTGTGGCCGCGTGGACGTTGGAGCTGGTGGGGATGCCAGACTGGCCCCCGCCCCCGCCCTGAGCGCGGACTCCGGCCTGGGCTGCTGGACGTGGATGAGCCGCGTCCTGGTCGCCAGGTGATC